TGAAAGAACAACAATCTGTGAGCATATTTTGTTGGAGGGGAACAAAGAAGAGAGAGAGTGCATAAAGCAGAATGCCCAGTTTTGAGGCTGGGTGATGAGGAGAATCATAGAATAGACAAATCTTCTTTGTGGCCTTGCCGTTTACCAGACACAGGGCTAGGTGCTGGGCATCAACAGTGACTAAAGAGACAGGGTCTCTGATCTCACGGAACTGTCCTTGCAATGCAGGACACTAAGGAGAGAAGCAGAAGGCACCAGAGGAAAGTAAGTCACAGAAGCCAAAGAGCGTACAGTTTCAATTTACAGCTCCAGATCGTCATGGAAAACAAGTCAAAGAACACTGGAAAGCCATTTGTAACAAGGAGAAATAAGGATTCCCACACACTTGATCATCATTATGGCCGTACTTCTCTTACTGTGTGCCAGCTACTGTACCATGTGCTTCTCCAGGGTTCTCGAGAGCAACAGAACCAATAGGATCGTTTAACCGATTGATGATCGATGGATTGCTGTGAGAATTAGCTCACACAACCGTGGAGGCCAAGAAAACCCAAGATCATCTGTCTGCGAGCTGGTGGTAGAGTTCAGTCTGAGTCGGAAGGCCTGAGAAGCTGGAGTGGGAGAGGGTGATGGCAAAGCCAACAAGCCGCATGGAGCCTGAGGGCCCCAGGACCAAGAGCACTGACGTCTGAGAGCAGAAGACGGGTGTCCTAGCTTAAGAAGAGGAAGGGCTTCTCATTTCCCCTTCTCGGGCTCTTTGCCTCAGTGAACTGGACGATGCCCACCCGCCTGGGCGAGGGCAGATCTTTTTCATTCAGTCCTGGTGATGCTTGTGTTAATCTCTCCTGGAAATGCACTCACAAACACACCCAGAAATAACGTTTTATTAGCTATCTGGGCATCCCTTAGCCCAGTCGGATGGATACATAAAATTAACCACCACAAATGCATCATCTCCTTTAATTCTTTAATAACCCAATGAAGTGGATGATATTAATTTCCTCATCTTATGGGTAAGGAGATTTGTCTGAGGTCCAAGAGCTAGGGAGTAGCACGTCTGGAATCCAAAGCCTGTCTTATCTCAAGCCTGTTGTGAATTGAGAGAAGATAAATCTATCCATGACTCCTGCGTTTTGGGGGGGTCCATGACAACACAGGGATGTTGAAGTCTGGACAAATTCTTCCCCAAACACACACACACATACACACACACACACACACACACACACACACACAATTTTTCCCCCCCTGGGAGCAGATGCAACAACATTCCTGCAGAGGCCCAACCCTGATACCCGAGGGTTGGCATTAGACAATCCTCTGAACTGACGGCTGGTCATGGAGTTGTTTGTGAGCGCTCTCCCCTCGGCCTGGTCACAGGCCTCACTGGATGTCTTCCGCCTGTCTGTGCACAGGTGAGAAACACCTTGACAATATTTTAGGCCTGTACCAATGTCACCATTGAGAGTCTATTTCTGGTAACTAAAACTGTGACTAGCAAAGCCTCTCACTTCACCCATCAAAACCCATTTCTGACACTTGTGATGCTAATTTTCAAAGCCTTAGGGGATGACTGAATTCCAAAGAGCATGCCCTTCTGATATCATCCCAGATGAATGCTCTAGAGAGTGAAGTTTCTATTAGAGCAACTAAATGTCCCTAGAGGTGAGACTTCCACAAATACAAACTCATGATTCCACGCTCAATGTCTCACAATTCTAAAGTAATTATGGATGTATAAAGTAAATCCCTACTCTTCACTGCTATCCCATAAAACCCATAATTGAGATTGTTTCATTGAATTGATAGAATAAACTATAAAATACCAATATTCTTTTTGACCAGGGAATCTTTTTTTTTTAAAGAGAGAGAGAGAGAATTTTTTAATATTTATTTTTTTTTTAGTTTTCAGCGGACACAACATCTTTGTTTGTATTTGGTGCTGAGGATCCAACCCGGGCCACACGCATGCCAGGCGAGCGTGCTATGGCTTGAGCCACATCCCCAGCCCCTTGACCAGGGAATCTTAAACTCATAACCCAAATGGGAAACTAACCAATGCCCTAAGAATGGCCAGCTTTTATGATGGGCAAGAAATTATACCAAGTGCTTAGACACATCTGTTTCTTTAATATTTCAAACAAAGTTATGAGCCAATATTTTAGTTCATTTGTGTTACTATAGCAAAATACCAGAGGCTGGATACTTTATCCAGAAAAGAGAGAGGTTTTTTTTGTTTTGTTTTGTTTTGTTTTGCTTTCTCACAGATCTGGAGGTTAGATCTGTGGCCACATCTGGTAAGAGTCTCATGCTGTATCATGATGATGGTGAATGGCATCATATAAAAGGAGCATGTTGGGCAAGAAGAGGAAACAAACCCATGAAGAAACCAATGATATGGAGTGGCCTTACTTTATAACAACATCCTTTCACATTCACTAATCCAGTCCTGCAAGATATAACCTATTTTTCCAGAGACAGGCATTAGTCCCTTATGAAAGTGGTGCCCCATGACCCAATCACCTCCTTCTGGATTCTGGCACGTCTCAGTATTGTTCCATTAGAGACCAGGCTTCCAGAATATCAAACTGTTGGGGACATATCCAAAGGAATGCAGCCAGGGGCCATTATCATACACCCAGAGGAGGAGGTTGAGCTGTGAAGAGAGAGCAAATAATTTGTCCCAGATCACACAGCTAGGAGCTGATAGAGAGGCCATCAGGGTCTGGACTCAGAGACAGGGACGTGTGAAGCCCCTGAAATCGCCCTCAGAACTGTGTGTGTTAGAGGGGGGCATCTGTGTTGTTCACCTTGCTTCAGCCAGGGCATGGGGAGAGTCGCGGTCAGGCTCTGTGACTTCTACCAGATTTCAAAGGTTTTCAGCACCACTGTCTACACCACTGTCTACACCGGCAGCCTGGGAATCCAGAAGCCTCCCCTGACAGCTGCCTGTCCTAAGTCCTCCTCTAACCGGGCCCCAGGCAGGATGCTTCATTTCCTTTCTGCAGACAGACATATTGAGCTGGTCTATTCATTTAAAAGCAGAGCAGCATTGCTCTAATTTATGAAAAACGCGTCAGGTAAGAAAAATCACACCCGAGAGAAAATCAATTGATCCTGCGTATTTGTCATTTATTTTTTTCTGGATTTTCCAATTTTGGAACTGGACCCAAAGAAAACAGGATGGTTTCACGCTGTGAAAAATAAAAACAGGTCTTTCTGTTCATTTGTTAAACAACAACAAGAAGAAGAAAACTTTAAGGAGTTTTCCTGATAACCCCCCCACACACACACACACACCCACCCAGCAAGCCATTAGGATTTGTGTGTAATTTCCAACTCTGGAGTCCTTTGCTATTCGAACAAATAACTTACTCCCATAAGATTTGCACCAAAGCAAAATGATCGTGTTTCCTTTGACTTTGGCATAGTGTTGACAGAAAGGAGAATTGAACTATCTTACTGGTGCTAAAGCAAACTGACTTGAAAAGGGAGGAGAGGGGACAGAGGAGGGGGACATTTTCTTAAAATACGTTACCTTCTATCTTCCTTCCGAGGTATCTTGTGTTTTAAGAGAATATATTTCAAGAATTAGACAAAAAGAAAATGCATACATATTTTTTTCATTTCCTACTCATTTGCATTTACCTTAAAATCTGCTAGAAATTTCTAGAGAAAAAGTTATATGTATACTGTAAGTTCTGTCCAGCCCATACTTTAGAAACTAGGCCAAGATGAACAAATGCCTGATTACCCTTCAGGGTCAACCCCCCCCCCCATCGGCTTTTTAAAAAGAGTTTTTGTTGAGTACCGAGGCTTTGAGTGTAATGTGAAGATTTGCTTATATTATGCAGAAATTCATGCACTGGCCCCTAGAATGCTCATGTATGCAGAATTGAAAAGTATTTCGGGTTACTGTATCCGAACTGAGGGAGAAATTGGTGTGGAAATTGATTTTCCCAAAGTCTCCACATTTCGAATGCAAAACCCCTTTTTATCTGGTCACTTCTGGGGAGGTAACAGTCAGGAGCTAATGAATGAGAAGAGAGACCAAGACGTATCAGCTCCATGTTGGCCCTAACTCCACTTCCACCTCCAGTCCCGGTGGAAGCTTAATCATGGAGCTGAGCATCTAGGAAAAGCCTTCTCTTACGGCCAGTGGGTTGTCGGGGTGTTCTGGGGTCCCTTTCTTGGAGGCTGTCTTGGTCTTATGCTAATATATTCATGTCCTCTTGCCAGATCCTCAACCTCCTTGAGCGTTCCATTTTCCCATGCATGCGTAAACCACAGGGAAAGGTAGCATTTCAGGCGAGAGATCAGTAAGAGGAGCTTTCAACATGAATGATTCCCTTTTTCTGCAAATGCCTGGTGCATTTACACTCTGCACGGTAACTATGCCTTTATTCCTACTCTAAATATTTCTTTTGAATTGACTCCACTCTCCCCAGCTAGATTGAAAATCCGTGAGAGGAAACAGCTTGTCTGACAGTTCTCTTTTATATTTTCAGCAACAAGCAGAGAGCTATGAATATAGCAGACAATGAGTCTTGATGGATTAATTCCTTCTTTGGAGGTTGCGGAAGCTTTTGTGGACGGGGTGTTTTCTCTGAGAGGAAGCTTCGTGAGGACAGGAGCTGTGTATTAATCACTTTTGCATCTTGCACAACATCTAGCTCAATTTATTGCTTAGAAATACCCAATAATTACCCCTGACGGAATCACCCTGTTTTATTCAGCTTTTTTCACTGCTGTGACTAAAAGACATGACAAGAACAACTGTAAAGGAGGAGAGTTTATCTGGGGACTCACGGTTTCAGAGGTCTCAGTTCATAACGGCTGGCTCCATCCCTCGGGGCTCCAGGTGAGGCAGGACTTCATGGCAGAAGAGTGTGGTGGAGGGAAGCAGCTCACAGGATGATCAGAAAACAGAGAGAGATTCCACTCGCCAGATACAAAATATATACCCCAAAGGCACGCCCCCCCCCAGTGACCCACCTCTTCCAGCCACATCCCACATTTCTACAGTTTCCACCCAATTAATCTCTATCAGCAAATTAAGGCACGGATTAGGTTAAGGCTCTCATAATCCAATCATCTCTCCACTGAACTTTCTTTCATGGTCTCACACGTGAGCTTTTGGGGGACACCTCACATCCAAACCACAACACACCCCTAAGAGAGGCTGAAATCCCTGGAGAGATGGTGGGTTTATTACTGAGCAACGAGGCTGCTATCAAGTGAGTCTACCTCCACGCACCCTCTTCCTTTCCGTTGTGAAGCACGGCAGCATGAGGCCACCACTAGATGCAGTGGTCTGACCTTGGACTTCACAGCTTCCTGAATGAACCAGGTTGTGCCACTGCCACCCTGGAGAAACTGGTCATTTGAACAAACAGGGTGGTGGTGGGATTCCGATTTTCTTCCTGGCATGGTCTGATCACTCCCTCCTCTTGGAGATCCAGCCTTCATTCGGCCTCCTGCCCTCTTCCTGGGCTTGTCTTCTCTTACTCGTTGGTCTCCAGTCTCCACGATGGGAGCTCAGGCTTGCTGCAGGTATGTCTTCTATTTGCAGAGCCCCCAGGTGATCTCCTTCACCCTTGACAATTTCTAAATGTTATCTCCTACAAAAGAGACCTTTCTCTTTTTTTTTTTTGACCTCCAGACTAAAATACCCAATTGCCCTGATTTCCACTTATTCCATCCAAAACAACACCCCCGATTTCCCATCCCCACCATCCCTTTCTGTCCTGGAGGTTCCATCTCAGCGCATGATAACTCAGTTCCAATTGCTCCAAGTGAAGCCCCCGGGGTTGACAGACTCCTCTCCTACTGCAGCACTGTCCTCAGCAAATCCTGGCAGTTGACCAGATGTTTATAAAATCGGATTATTCTCACCACCCCTGCACTCCAGGCTCTTCTTGGCTTCCACCATCACTGCCACACAGAGCTCCGTGAGGGCAGACACCTTTGCCTGGTTTAGTCATTGCTGTGCCTCAGTTCTGGGACTGGTGCCTGGCACCGCCTAAGTGCCCAGAAGCTAGACAACAAGTGACTCTTGCCTTGAAGATGGCAGTGATCCCTAATTCTGGATTTCTCATCCCTGGCATTATTCACATGTAGGGCCCATAATTCTTGGTGGCAGGAGCTGTCCTCTGACTGTAGGATGACTAGCAGCATCCCTGGTGCCAGGGTTTGAGCATGTCTCCCAGAAGTTCACATGTTGGAACCCTAATTCCCCAGTGGGGCAGTGTTGGGACCTAGTAGTGATGTTTGGGTTGTGGGATGGAGCCTTCGTGAATGCCTTTCTCAGAAGAGTAAGCTCTTGCTCTTGTGGAACTTGGCTTATTACTGAGCAATGAGGCTGTATAAAGTGAGTCTACCTCCATGTGCCCTCTTTCCTTTCCCTTGTGAAGCACAGCAGCATGCGGCCACCACTAGATGCAGTGGTCTGACCTTGGACTTCACAGCTTCCAGAACATTAAGCCCAAACGAACTTCTTCATAATTACACAGTCTTGGGCATTCCGTTATAGCAATGAAAATGAGCTAAGACACCTGCTTCAACCCACTGGATGCCAATAGCATCCACCACTTTCCCCATTTGGGACAACCAAAATCTTCTCAAGAAATTTCCAAATGTCCACTAAGTGGCAGACCTACTGCCATGGCTGGTTTACTCTTCACACTTTTGTTCCCATAATCTCTGAGTGGCCAGAGTGACAGTCTGCACATGTAAAACAAGCCACGGCTTCCCATCCACGGAGAGTAAAATCCAAGCACCAAACAGTACCTATAAGACCCCCTCCCTCCTCCTCTGACCTTAGCCCTCTGCACTTGCTGTCGCAGGCCCGATTCTTGCTCATCCTTGGAACACTCCCTGCACCTGCCTGCCTTGGGCTTCTGTACATGGTCCCTCTGCCTGGAGCGTCTGGTTCCCAGATGCCATGTGGAAATTCCGGCCAATCTTCACACTGTCCCTCCTGTGGAGCGGCACCTTCCTCTCCGCCAACGCCCATCCCTACCTCCCTCTGTCTCTCCACCGTACTCACCACCTCTTGGCTGATGAGTGTGTCTAGAGTAGTGGGCAGCTGGGTGTTGGTTCTTGCAAACTTGTGGAGTGATTGACAGACGGATGGTGGGTGTCCATGGAAGACTGCAGAGGCCTCCACTCACCTCCTGCATCCTCTCTTCTTGGTTTTCTCTTGGTCCTATTCTAACACTGAACAGATGAGCAGAAATCAACCAATAGTATAAAACAAAGCATCACAAAAAACCAAAAGCCTCACAGGGGAATATCTTCCAGAAACCAGTTTGGACCAGGCCCCTTCACATGCTAGGATTTGGGCCTTGGTTGGGGTGATCACAGTGCAGTGATCAGTTGGGGTTGGATTGCCTGGGTGCACCCCCTGACTTCACTGCTTACCCTGTGGGATTAAGAGCAAGTTACTTTTCCCATCTGGGTTATATTCCCTTGTCTCTAAAATGAACAATAAGAAGACACAATTTTCAGGGCTAATTACATGTGACTTATACTTGTAAAGTGCTTGGGCATGTAGTAACCCTGGATCAGCGATTGCTATCATTATCAGCAGCTGTGTGGACACTGTTTTCATGACGTTTTGATGCCTGGTGATGTGCTGAAGCTTGGAAATTTTCTGCATCAGATTCATTAATTCATTCCTCATTTATTGACAGCCTACTGTGTGCTTTTCTAGGGACTGAGGACATGGGTCAAATTAGATAAACGGATTTTTAAAAATGTATTTGAGGATAAAGATAGTATCTAAAGAAAGAAAAAAACAATCAAGTAGTGGCATGCACCCTGATAAATGGGGGATAAGGTGGGGAGGCTGGGAAAGGGGGGCTGCTTTGGGTTTCAGGATCAAAAGTTGTTCTGAAGCGGGGGTGGGGGGGTGGGTGGGAATGGGAAAGACAGTTGAATGAACTGGACATAACTTTCCCATGTTCGTGTATGAATACACGACCAGGGTAACGCCACATCACCTACAACCACAAGGGTAGAAAGTTGTACTCACTGGAATCACCAGAAGGTTAAACCAGGGGAACGGCGTTTTACAAAGCCCTCCCTGGTGCTGGTGGAGCATGGCCCACAGAGACACAAGCATGTAAATAAGGACACTGGCCGAGAGAGAGATGGTTAGTGACACATGGGGGAAGTGGAGGTGACGGTGATGGAGGTGCTGCTGTAATGTGGGGAAGCAGTCATCCGTTCTGTTACTGACGCTGGGTGTCACACATTTGCCAGGAATGGTGGCAGGGAACAGGACTGTCTTTCACCTGCCCTGGGAAGAGGGGGTGGCTGATCCCTTCAGCCCTCTTGTCCACTTTCTTTTTTTCCTTCTCTGTGGAGGTTTAAAAGTCAACTTATGATGAGTGCAGGAGGAAAGGGGGGAGGCAAGATTTCCTTGACTTCTAGAATGTTCTCCCATGGCTCCTGGACATATGAAGAAAATAAGCTTAAAGTGGTGTTTAATTTAAAGAGAGAGAGCAAGGCACCTGTGCTAGGGCTGACCAGGACTCCTGTTGTGACAACCATCCGATGCTCCACAGTGACAGTCACTGCATGTGAACATGTTTGTTTTAAGAATCCTGGAAAAAAAACACATGAAGACTTTCTCCAAAGGTTCAAAGTAGAAAGGCCCTCTGTGCTCGAATTCTGCAAATCCCATTACAAATGAAACTTTATGTTTCACATTTAATAAGTAGTCGCTGGGTTGGATGGTTTTCTTTTGGGATCCGGTGGACTGAAGGCCAAAGGCGTCTGTGTGTGTTTTTGCCACTCTAATTTACACCACTATTTATAGACCTGCCACATTTGGCACCCAGAATCCTTTCTATAATGAAGGAAAGAGGTGAAAGCAGTTGCTGGAGGTTTCTTTCTTCCTGGTCTTTAAGACCTGTCCCTGACAATAGGACATGAGTCCTCGAAACACTGGTCTTTTATGTGCCAGGATTCCCCCCATCTGCCTACACCAGGTCATTTACCGGGTAACCTGGTTTAGAGTTGTTGGATCAAGCATAGTGTTCTCAGGGAACTTTAATTTTAGGTGCAAGATGAACCATTTTTTAGTATAAGAATGTCCCAAATATCACAAGGGCAGATAGTCATTCTACAACTAAAATCCAAATTTAATTTAATTCAGATTTAACTGTGTTTTCATTTGCTAAGGTGGCAACCCTAGCATAGGTGGAAGGCTGTCCCAAAGCAAAGGCCACTTAGGCCATACATCTGCTAAGTCCTGGGACTGCCCATTTCTGGTCTCCTTCTCTTTTCTACAAAACTAAACTTGTCAACATTTAGCAAGAGGATATGGTCACTGGAGTGAGTAACTCTCTCTCCTTACCTGTTCCATAAGTGTCTCTATTGTACTCCCATGGCTCTATTCACACATCCATCTATCCACCCACTGACCAGCCTGTGTATCCATCCATCTATCCATCCACCTACTCATCCATCCATTTATCCATCTACCCACCCATCTGTTCAGACAAGTATTTATAGGACACCTTTCAAGTTCAGAAACCATGTAGCAAATCCATGATCTCCCTAAAAACATATTCTGTGAATGATTCATGTTCTGTCTTGGGGGCCAACTTTTTGGGAATATCGCCAGATCCCAGGAAGCAGCTGCGGTGATCAACAGTATAGCTCCAATTCCAGCATTGCCGGACATGTCCACCTCTATCATATGTAAATCACACGCCACCAGTTGCCCTGGAACCATGTCAATCTCTGAGATGTGGGAAACCAAAAGCTAGATGGGACTGTCCTCCTGTACCAGTTAGGGAAGGATAACCGGGGTCACAAATAGACCCCAGTAATGTGCAGAGTCCCACTCAAAGTTCATTTCCTGCTTAGGTTATAGTGCTGAACTGGGGAAGGGCAGCCCTCCGCAGCACGGTCACGCGGAAATTCAGACTGGCAAAGACTCTGCCATCTTGAGAAGGTCATTCCCAAGTCCCCAGGGGTCATGGCCATTTCAGCCTGATAGAAGAGGACGAGGGCATGTGGAATCCGCAGGTGATGAAGACCGGCCTGGAAATGGCCTACATTGTTTTTTTTCTCACTAGAAAACTCACAGGTAGCTTTCTACCTACCTGAGAAAAAAGATACCATCCATGGGTGTTTTAGTCAGTTTTTTTTCACTGCAGGGACCAAAAGGCAGGACAAGAACAAATTAGAGGAGATAAAGTTTATTTGGGGGCTCATAGTTTCACAGGTGTCAGTTCACAGATGGCCAGCTCTGTTGTTCCGGGCCTCAGGTGAGGCAGCACATCATGGCGGAAAGGTGTGGCACAGGAAAGCGGCTTGGGACATGGCACCAAGAAGCAGAGAGAGACACACAGCCCCCCTTACCATGGACAAAATATATACCCCAAAGGCACGCCCCCAACGACCCACCTCTTCCCATGACACCCTTCCTGCCTACCGTTACCACCCAGTTAATCCCCGTCAGCAAATTAACGCACTGATTAGGTTAAAGCTCTCATAACTCAATCATTCCACCTCTAAACTCTCTTTCATTGCCTCACACATGAGCTTTTGGGGGACACGCCATATCTAAATCATAGCAATGGGTCTAGCCACCGTGCAACTCCTGGTTGCCAGGGAGACCTGGCTTTGCACTCCCAGGAAGAAGATAAGAATGTGGATTTGAGTAGCTTTCTGGATATCCGTTTCCTCACTTGTGAAATGTTCTATTGATTGCCTTTCAAAGCCCATTGGGGAAAATCCTGAGTGCTCCTCATCCTCCTGTTCATGTCCTCCTTGTAAGATGGGATGGGATCCCCCTGCATCCTACCTGAATGCTGAGCTCACTCTCTAGGCTGGGAGCCCTGTCAGTCAAAGGCCAGTGGCTGGATCTTTTTCCTAGGGTCCCAGTAGCCACCACAGTGTTTGGCTTGCAAATGCTCAAGAAGTGTTAGCTTCCAGGAAATGGAAACAGAACAATTTAGGGCATGTCAGTGCTGCAAATATCCCATCTCGATCGATGTTCTGCTCCAGGCTGCAGACATGGACAGTTCCAGGCTTCCAAACACTGAGCTTCCTGAGAGCTTCTAGCCTTGGCTACTGGGTTCCTGGCTGTTGTGGAGGCGCCTTGCAGTTGCCATGGGAACTGGCCACTCACAAAGCGCCCTTCTCTTGGGCCCCTGAACTCCTCCCCTCCTCCCTGCTGCCTGTGCCTTCTCAGATGCTGCCATGGGAACTGCCCAGGTGCCAGCACCTCCCTCTAGCCCACGGGGGGCGGGGCCCGGGCAGAGTGCCTGAGGCCACAAAGTGGGGGCTGGGCTGCTGGGGCAACTGAGCCACCTTACCTATGTACAGCTGCTTCTATGGAGAAATGCATTCAAGTTCCAAAATCGATCATCCGGGAAATGTGCTACTGGAGCACATCCCAGCTAGTTAGAGAATAGTGAGAACCCAGGGAGCAGGCAGAATGGGAAAGCGAAAGAGGGATCCGTTCTCTTCCAACCTCAGAGTGGCTTTTTGGGTGGAGGGGTGATAATGGTCAGTCAAATGCTTTGACTCCATCTCTGGGATGGTGCACGGTTGGCAGGGTGATCACCATAAAGACCCCAGATTACGTCTTGGTCCCTGAAGCATTCTCAGATGGGAGCGTCTGCAGAAGATGAGTCCACCTGTGCATGTTTTCAAACATTTAACTAGTTTTAGATTTCTTGGATTCGTAAAAAGAGATGAAAACCCAGGAATGTTTCTTTAACCTTTGACCAGTCTTGCCCAACAGCCACTTCTGCCCACACCCTTCATTGGTCCAAGTTGTATCCTGGCCTGGAGACTGAACTGAGGATCCCTGAGAAGCAGAAAACTTTACCTTTACTCTCGACACGGTTGACAAAGGAAATTTTGACCCTCACTGTCCGGGAGTAGGAGAGGTATGCTATGGCTTGTCATCGCGCGGACGGGGTGTTCTCTCCCTTGCTCCATGCGGCCTGTGTCCACTCTCTAAGCCTTGGCCCACCATTATATCCACCTGTCCATGAGAGGTGACCAGCTGTCTGAAGATTCCAGGAAAACCATCCATCCCAGTACAAAGAGGAAAGACTTGGCCAGATTGACAGGCAGGAGCTGGCTCTGGAGCCAGGCTGGCCAGCCAAGACTTGCTGCCTCTCTACTCAGCTGCAGGATGATGAAGTTCACATCTTTCAAGCCTCCTTTCCCTCATCTCTTACAGGGAGAAAGGGATACCTATCTTACGGGATGAGAAAGAATGTGAGTTAAGCCCTTTCACACGGGAAGTGCTCAATCAATGACAGTTACTTTCTGGGGGCAGGCATTTCAAGAGTCACGATGTAATGGGTAAAAGCTGTATTGAACGTCTATCTGAAATGCGGAGGGCCCCAAGGAAGAGCATGCCATCACCTAGGGTGGCCACGGAAGTCTTAAAATTGCTCCCAGTTACTTATAGGACTCCCAGGTGGGACTCTTCTGCCTCTCACATCCACTGGAGGTGTGAGGAGGTGAAGGTAAGGTAGAGTGAGACTGTACGGAGGAGCAAGAGAATCTGAGATGTGACTGTCAAGGAGACAGTGAGCACCCTTCCTCTCAACCCCAGTCCAGTTCATGTGGGAAGAACCTGGAGACGGAGGTTGTGAAGCCTCCAAGCGCACTGAAGCCGAGAGCTGGGCTGCCTAATAGAAAGGTATAGAAACTTCTGGAATATTCTAGTGTATTCTGGAGTGCTTTCCCTGTGAGTGAAGCCAGAGGGTAGGGAGAAGTATGCAGGATTCTGCTTGTGAGGAAAACTGGGGCTGCTGATGCATCTGTCTGTAAGGTGTCCCTCTGAGGAGGCCACAGTCATCCTGTCACTGTATCTGGATAGACTGACACCTCCAGAGAGGCCAGGAGTCCAGGCAGAAGCAAACCTCCTCCCAGGAAGGGTCAGGCCTGCTCTTTACTGTGATTTCTTCCCTGGAAACTCTGAAGAATGTGAAATGTGGAAAATTAGAACTCCCCCAGCCCCCAGCTGCTGTGTCCTCTTGGAGGTCATCTTTGGTGCTGAAGCTGTGGGAATGCTTTTCTTTCTTGTTCATGAAGCATGGTTCCTTGACTCCTGGGTTGTGTCAAGATCCCCGAGAAGCAAGCCCTGTGCTGAGAGCATCACATCACCAGCAATAATACTGAGCTAGAGTTGGGATGAGCAGGTCCCGACCACTCAAGAACATTCCTTCCTGCAGGACCCATGGCTCTTATTATGGTGCTGGGGATGATGCACATGGGACTGCAAAATACAATTATGCTTTTAGGGAACAGCTGATCCGGTGACACCAACTCTTCTATCATATAAAACGGTAGAGAATTAAATACCAGCCACTTCCTAGAGCTTCCTACCAGCCTCCTCCTAGAGGAGGAGACTTATTAATAAGGCCGTTCTGGGTCTATTGTCCTTTGGGAACCAGAACAGATATTCTGCCTTCATTCTCCATTGAATCATTTTCTACCACTCACCCCAGTGGGGGACTGAGTGTCGTCACTTGGGCCTTTTGCATCTTCTTTAATTGTTGCCCTCCACTTTGGGGACACTGATGAGTGACGATGACCCAGTGGCATTTATCTGAGTTCTTGAACACTGAAACTTCCTTAGCAGATGCATTATGCCAGAGTTTTATCTCACCAAACGTGGCCACTTGGCAGAAGGTGGACAGTGGGTTTATATATTTTGCATATTTTAATGCGCAATTTTTAAGTGTTTGATAAAATGGTAGATTCCTAAGTAGGAACCAAATATTCAATTCCGTGCCCCCCAAAATGGGCTTTTGTTACAATGGGGTAGATGAAATGATCAAACGAGTCTGCTGTAGAGGGCAGGAATCAATACCCCTCACTTTCTATCCAGCTGTGCATTATCACAGAAATTCAAAATGTACAGAAAAAAGATATCATTTCCATTAAATATAAAGCAAAATTTATCTACATTTTGCAAATGTGGATATTGTGGTAATGAGAAAGAAGGTGTCTGGGACAGAGATGGATCATGGTCTGAGCTGGGAAAGGGGTCCTGGGACAAGCTTAGATGTTTAGATGCTGTGACCCACATACTACCATCCTTTTTGTGTTACCCACACGAGGCTTCATGGACGGGGATCAGACGGACTCTGGTGCACACTTACGAGCCCTAGGGTCAGGCAGTGGGGTGCTGGGGCAGGGAGCCCCTCAGAACAGTGCTTGCCTCCACTCTCCAGGGGCCTGCCGGGGCTTCTGGATCTCATTAGGCCACAGCTGCTCTGCAGCCTGGACCCCAGAGTGTGCGCCTGGTTTCCATCACTTGACTGTTGATTTGGCCTGTAATCATCATCAGAGGGCACATTCCAGGTTCGTGGTTTAAGAGAAAAGCATACTTGAGCCTACAATTGAGGAGGCGTTCTGCTTTGAGCATTTAATGATTCTCTGAGGCTCAGCAGCGCCCCTCCTTCTGTCTGCCTCTGACAGCCTGTAGCTTTCATTTCAGAGGCAGGCGGGCGGGATTCCTGGAGGCCACGTGACCCCCTCCCCAATCTGGATCCACCTAAGAGCTGAAAAGTGCAAACTGTGGCCAGATGAATGTGTGCTGTGTTATTTGTGACGGGGATCCCCAGGGAGTCCTTGGGCTCTACATCTTTGTTGGAAACACCCAATAAACCGCTGGCCTGAAGGCTCCCTGTTGTTTTAGTGCAGGGCTTTCAATGTAGTCTCCTCAGGCCGTCACCATTCCTTTGACCACGCTGCAGCTTGCAACCCCCCACCCAATGTGGCTTCTGTCCCCAGCCTGTACCCACAGAACCAGCTGGGCTCTGGTTTGCTCCCTGGGTCCAGGGATGATTTCTCAGGTTACTAACTCACTCTCCTCTGTCCACAAAGACGACACGGTCATCAGGGATGGAGGATCAGCTGGGTCCAGCCAGGCCCCCAATCTCCCACATGAAACTTTCAGAGTCGGCTGGCCAGGGCTCAAGGGGTGCTCAAAGCAAAAAGGCGGCTGGTCCTGGAGTGAATCGAAAGCCCTCCATGTTTCTCCAGGTAGCCACCAGCCTATGCAGGAACCACTAGCATCTGATCCTCATGAAGTGGCAGGATTTCTATTGGCCAGATAACCAGAAAATCAAGGTCTCTGAGTTAAACCGCTTTATAAGAGAGAAAATAATGCGCTGTAGCTACAGGGAGGCCCAGTGGTTGCTGAAGGCCAGAGGAGCCCACTGACTCACAGTCGGAGTATGCCCTTGTGGCTGAGCTCAGCGGAACGCAGATGGGCTCAGTGGACACATGCACAGAGGACCAGCGCTGGCCGTGGAGGCCGGTGACACACAGGGCTGGCTCCTGGCATGCAGGAATCTGGGGTCAATTAGGGATCAGCAGAGCCTGAGGATTTAAAACAATTGCAAGCAGCAGGATGAGATCTGGTTGCAGGGTGCACAGATTCAATTGTAATGTCCCCGAATTAAATCAGTGTCCCACCCTTGGCAAAGCCTTTTTCCCAACCAACAGGATAACCCATAGCCAAAGCTCAACCGCTGGAGGTGGCGATGGCCGATGACCAAACCCTAGTGATTGGGGGAGGGGCATGTATGTTCCGAATTCTGAATCTAATCTAATCTGATTCCACCCACACCTCACATTTTCAAGCTGCAGGTTTCCTTAATTCTTTGACTGACAAGAGAGTTAGGTCTTTAGATATTCTCTCATCATTTCGTATTGTTGTGTCCGCTCCACACAATGTTCACTTGATGGGAAGGCTGAGTTTTGAACTGCAGGCATCAGTGACGTCAGAGAACCCAGCAGAGAGGGGAGGAGAGGACGGGGTGGAATTTGACTCAAGGAAGTGGAAGAATAAGTGGGGTCTCTTCGGCATCAGGAAACCCAGGCAGGGGCACCGTGAGAGTGACCGAGCCCTGGAAGTTGGCATGCTCGCCCTTCAGTTGGTTTCCTGACTCAAGAGTGAGTCCTCAGTGTTCTTCGGCCTGACCCTCTTCTTGAGGGGAACTGCCTTTGGTCCCCCAACTCCAGTCATGTGGTTCAAATGGGGACTGTCATCCCTTTCCCAGTCTCTACTTCCCTGGCCACAGTCCAGTTGGTGGAAGAAACTTGATCCAGTTATGCTATCCAGGGTCCTTCCCTGAGATTTATCTGACCTGTAGCTAATGGGAACAGGGTGTCCTTTTCCAGGGAAGGAGAGGAATGCAGAAGCGGTTGAAGGTTGCAATAGTCAGTTTTCTGTTTCTATTAACAAATGCCCAAGATGATCAATTCATAAAGAAAAAAGGTTTGTTTTAGCTCACAGCTTTGGGGGTTTTCAGCCCACGAACTCTTGGCCCTGTTGCTTTTGGCCTGTGATGGCATATCACAGT